GCTGAACGGTTGGAATACCTTCCTGCGGAACTTCACTGCTACTGAAAGTAATGTGGAAAATACTAGAAGTTCAGCCGAGAGACTAGCGCAGCTGCTTCACCAGCCCCCAGACTAGAAACTGTATGACAGTCTGCAGCTTCATCTACTCTGCTGCACAACAGCAGTCACCCGCAGATGGCAATCTACTTGAGTGTATATCCACTGCTATCCTCTAAGAGATCTGCATTCTCTGATAGACTCCACTTATATTCAAAAGACAGGAGCAACTATGTACCTGGGCTTATAAAACTCCAGAACCACAACTGGCTCCGTAAGTTCCATCTTGACTATTTTGAAAGAATAAATTCCCAAACTCTTTACTAAGCTGCAGTCAAGCATACGTTAACTTAGAAGAGAAAAGCATCTTCTACATAATGGCACCATAACATTAAATACCAAAATTACACAAACAGTAATGAGAATTTAATTAATTTGTACTCAGATAATCCTTCCCTCTTCCCTCCATCTCTACAAAAACCCACTTAGCCAGTGCAAAGGTCCATTTCGTACTTCGCAACACGAAACACTTCTCAGTAGGTCATGAACAGATATACAAATACTGATTTTCATTGAGAAATATTGACAACGAACTACAGGCTACTCGAGTATGAAAATCCCACCCATGTCTGACAATTAGGAAATAATACACGTTCAAAAAAAAATTTTTTAAATACATTTTTAATACAACTTACTTGAAGTTTTGCTAGCTGAGCTGTGCGAGACACTATTTTGTTGTAGGGGTCAACAATTTTGACTCTAATTCTAAAAATAAGAAGAGAAATTTATTTATAGCAGTATTAATAAATAACATGATAGAACAATTAAGAATTTCTACTTTCTAATCACATAACAAATGTCATACCTATCAACAGTACTCTGTAGAGCACCAATTCTAGTCTGCATCATTTGGAGGACACCTGCAAAATAAAGCATATTTTTTACATGGAACACTTGCCAATTATAGAAAGAACTATTCTTCAAATCATACTAACTACTGCAAAGTACTTTAGCATAAAAAAGAAACAGTTTCCCCCTTTACAACAAAGCATTCGAACAGATTGAAATTAATAAAACACAGCATATTTGGAAACAAACTGAGCAGGTAACAGGTCACTTACTGAATGCTATGGAAAATATTTTGGTAGAGAACACAAACCTACAGAAGAAATATCACTCTGAAATTCATCATATCTTACATTTCAAATAATATTTAGAGCATGTTGCTTTCTAAGAGAATGATAATCAGGACTGCTGTTCAAAGGCATATAACCTGCTACAAACACCTGAACATGACATACAAAAATGGCACAACCTATTTAACGCTATTTATTTAACATAGTGACTAGACAGTTCAGAGAAAACAACAGACAAAGAGGACTGATAAGATAACCAATTCTATTTCAAGGTTTTCTTCCTGTGCATAAGCATCCTTAGCAAAAAGTAAGGTATCAATGTCATTGTTAGGTCATCTAATTTAGATTACAAACAGAGCAAACTATTCTAATCATGTTTGTTCCAGATTAGTTTGGCCAAGCAGCACAAAGAAAGCCCACAAGCATGCTTGTTCTTTTCTTGTTAAATTGCAAACAAAGTAGTCAAGGGTAGCAGTCATTTTTGCAATATGGAATCAGCCTGCTGAGAGTTTAATTAAGTTATGCAAACCCAGGCCTATGAAATTATTTTTGTTCCAGTTATTGTTAGCATTCTCAAGCATACTACATCTTTGTAAAGCCCTGTTTACAAGCATGTCATCATTAAATTGGATAAAACTGCAATATGAGACAGTAAGGTGGAAAATAAACATACTACTGCTAATAGTTGTATTCAGCTTGTCCTATACTGGGACTATAACTCACTTATTTTGTATAAATATGCCAACTCCCATCTTCTCCATATTTCAGAATTATTAACTTGGCTTAGTGACAGACTCAAGAGTTCTCGGACTCTGACATTCATACATGGAATGGTAGGCATGTAATTCTCACACGTCAGAGGATGAAGATATGAGATACAGTGAAAAGTTGGCAAAATAGGCTGAATTTTCTCCTCTACATTGCAATAATGGGGGAGGGCCAGTAGCATGACACTGCTGCATCTATGACTGTGACATTGCTATAAAGCATACAGCAGCCCTCTTGCCAGAAGGCAGAATTAGGATGGGTGAAGAGGCAATCTACCCTCTCCATCTGCTGTGTAAGATACGGGATAATACTATTTAGCCTATCTTGAGCTAACAGGTAGCTCAAGATATCTCTTGTACCATTAAAAAAGTGCACAGACCTAAAAAAGAAAGGAGTCAACAAGGTGGGTATATCAATTTGAAACGTTTAATGAGATTCACTTTCACACATCTAAATGACTGTGCATGCTATGAATTAGTTCCATAATCTTCAGTCGCTAATTTTCTTGATAAACACACCGAGAGCTATGTGTTTCTAACTTCATAATTAAAATTTCTATTGACATTCATCTTTTCTTTTTCTTATGAATCTTGACTCAGTGTTTCTTCTACAGTGACCATATATCACATGCAGCACAAGCAGGGAAGAGGTAAGAAAGTTTTGCAAAACTTAAAACATCATCTTTGTGTGCACAGACTTTTGATTTTCCTGGCAACTGCAGGCTGAAGTTTCTACTGATGTCTCAAGTATCAAGTACTTTTCAGGATTAGAACCTCTGCATGCTTCTCCTTCCCCCGCACACAGAAAAGGCCTCTTAAAGAGCATAACCCTAAGTAAATGGAGAAATTTCAATACATTTGAGGTGAATTAGATATTTACTTTGGGTTATTAGCTGTAAAACACGCATTATTTACCATGCTTGCCTTACAGAAATGTTTTATACCTGAATAGTTGTTTTGAAGTGCTTCATTCTTTCCTCAGAGCAATTTTAGGAAGGAATGCCTTCAGAAACAACCATGATTTCAGAAAACACAATTCTACTGAGCACAACTTGCTGAAGATCATGACTGGGAGGTATTTATCAATCACAAGATGAACTACAGATTCCTATCTACTTCTCATTTGGAGGATGAACACTGGTTCCAGTCTTCCTATACTTAATTTTCCAACTCTTTAAAAAGCTATTCAGAAGCTACCATTGCTAGATTAAATAGGCATTTCTTTATTTTTATAGCTATATGCAAGTGCTAACAATCAAATACTGTATCCGACATGTTCCAAGGACTAAGAAGACAGTATAACTGTCAGTAACCAGAAACTCTCTGGTTATGCCAAAGCCTGGAAGCAGAAGGAGGAACAAAGATAAATTATTTAGCAAGTTACAGAATGGAAGGGGAAAAGGGGATATGCTTGGATCCCATAGTATAGGCAAATTAGCATGTTATAGAGGTAAATATCTTTCTGTGCAAAAAAAAAAACCCAAAACCATATGAAGTTCCCAGCAAGTGACAAAGAGCAGAATGGCAGGTCTGATGAGCTCATGGCACAAGAACAATATACTGCAACCATTCTTCTATACAGATTCAATGGTTCCTAAGGCCTTTGAAAGTCAGCAGTTTATGTTAAAATCCAGATCCCAAACAGTGGAATAACACAAAGGTATGTATTTAACTTAGTAGCCCCTCACTAGGAAAAAAATACCTCAATGCAGTTAAGATTACACGTTAAAGCCTCTTTGGTTAAGATTTGCAAACTAAACAACACATGCATATGCAACATGCATAAACTTGGTACTTACGGCAACAGATACCAGCTAATGTTGCAAGAACATTATTTAGAAAAATATATTAAAAGGTCAAAAAGACTCGATTGCTAAAGTTGCTCAGAACTGATTATCAAAATATGTTTTCCTGTGAAGTAGTTAACTCCACAAAACTATCAGCCAAATCTTCTCCCTGGAGCTCCATCTACTGACATCAAAAAAAAAAAGCTGCCACGTTATTCCTCAGAAGTAAGATCCGTAGCCTTAACATTAGGGGCCAAAGTTGACAGTGAGTGACGTTCCCTGCACAGATATTAAAAGTGCTTCCTCCACCATAAGAAGTAGCAAGCATAATATAACAGTATTTACCTTCCAGGGATTCAATTCCAGTTGCTTGGGCCAACAGGTCTTCATGTCTTGCAACAACCTTAAGAAAATAGAATAGAGAAATCAACACAAGAAAAACGGGGATGTGTGCCTGAAAGGAATAATAATATATCATCATCATTCCTACATTAGGCATTAAAGTATCATCATCCCTATATTAGGCAGACACAGGAAAAAGCAGCCACACCTTAAAGATGAAAGGGTTTTCAGAACACGTTTTAATTCATAAAAGTGGCAAGTTCAGAACGAGAAGAGGGTCAGTAACTGCAGTGTAGCTGACATCTTAATTAAAGCCAGCAGAGCAATTGCATTTCAACACACTAGTTCCCAAAGAATTTACCAATTGGGAAGAACCAGGTTTTGAAACTGCACACAAACTTAGCACGTGTTCTCATTGCAAGGTCCACCGTGGATTTGTGGTGTCTGTGTAGTTTTTACCAAAAAGCCTTCTACTATCTAAACTCAAAAGCCTTTCTGAAGATGTGGAGGTATGTTAACATAGGTTGTACTTGCCCAGCTAAAGGTAAGCCTGAGAGCCTAGGCTACTCTCCAGCACAGGATGAAAGGGTGCAAGTCCAATCACTCCCTATCTTCTCACAATTGTCATCCCAAAACACAGGCCAGCATTTCTGATAGCTGACGTGATCATTTGAAAAGAGTTAGGGAACATCCTTACAAGGAAGAGCAGAACCTCCATGCATACAGACACTGGCTGCAGAAACTGAAAACAAAGCAGTATATGGCTTCTTGGTAGGAGTATTGAGAGTGGGCTTGACTGAGTTAAGTATCAGATCAACTACTAGTTTTGCTGCAAGTTGTACCTTTAGTTACTGCTTGCAGAGTACACTGGGCAATTTCAGAAGCAACAAGATCATAAGATTACCAAGCTTTTGACTAGCTGATATCAACCTCCCCAAAATAACAGGTATGCTTTAAACTTACTTGTAAATGAAGCTCTTTATCCAACTGACTAATGCCTTGAGCAAGTTTTGCTAGTTGCTCAGCTATCACAGCCTGATGGATAGACTGGGAAGTGTAAGCTTTCACATCAAAGTCTTCTCTGAAGAAGTCAGCGTAACATTCTGAAAAAGATTTAGATTTTATCTTCATGCTTCAGAACAGTTAAATAATATTTATGGACCTAAAGCATACAGTTCTCTGACCTTCAATTTCTCCAAATGTAACAGCATATGTTCTCTACATCACAAAATACAAATGAGACACCTATTTGAGAAGGGACCACAATCGAGAGAAACAAGTTTGGAGCTGATGACTTGGGGGGAGGGGGGTAAATGGTGAGAGAGACACATGTTCCTTTATTCCCCACAGCCTTTTCTTGAGTAGAATACACTAAAAAGTATCGACACCTTCTTCTTCAAACTTTACAAACCATGGTGAGGCTGTTGAGGTTGCACCTGTAATCAAACACACACCAGCCACCTTCAAATCGCCGAGGATCAGAGCGGCATGAGGCACCACTTCATGAAATCATACCAGACTCTTACAGCGGCATTGCTTTATAAAACACTAAATTAAGAAATGATGCTGCAGTGATGATTTTGGATCAAGCGAGACCCGAGTTTCCAGACAGCCCATACCACTGTGACCGAGCACCCTCGGCCCTGCCTTCGGTGCGCTCTTCCTCCCCTCAGGAGCAAGCGGCCGCCGCCGCAGGACGGGGCCATGAAGCCCCCCCCCCCCCCCCCCCCCCCCGCGCCGCGGGGGCCCCCCCC